AATTCAAAGAAGCGACTCCATACACAACCTTCTGTAATTCTGGTCTATTATGTTCTTTGGGGAACAAGCTCTACTACTGTATTAGGGTTTGAAAATAATAATAATAATAATAATAATAATAATAATAATAATAAATTAAATAAAATCCATGAATGTTGGTTAGAACTGAACATTTCTATCTTTGGGTAGGAAAGGAGCACACATGTTCTATTGGTAGCTTTCTCCTTACTGCATCATGAAATCTCTCTCCTCTTATTTTCCATACCATTATACATCTTCCCAACAGAAAGTTCTTATATACACTGCATAGCCAGACAGACTGTGAATGAGTAACCATGACAACACTCTGCTGTGAGCCAGGCTCTGGTGCTGTGCAGGTGTTTTGTTGTGGGGAGTTATGTCTTCATGTTATCAGTCTGACTTTTAGCAAGTGAAGAACTGGCACCAAACTTGCTTTATGCTGAATCTTGGCTTGACAATCACACCTCTGGGAATTTGTCCTTGTGCATTTAATTTGTAGTGACAGTTAGTCTACTTTGGTTTTGAATTGAGGTCTAAAATATGTGAATTGTATGTAGCTGTCTAGAATTGGGGAGACATTGCCATTCTCTTATGTTAGTCTGAGTCATTGATAGACATTAGGGCCTATGTGCGTTGCAGTCTTTGTGGAAGACTAGATCTAGTTATGAAGCATATCCCAGTATATTTTCTATTGATTAAAATTAGATAATTTAGTGAGGATTCGTCTTTTGATAGTTCACAGAGTAAATGCCCACAAGATTGAGATGTAATCTTGAGATTACATGTACAGTTTGTATGAAAATCCCTGGTAATGGAGAGGTTTGACAGCTGTTTTACACATGTAAATTGCAGACAGAACAGTGTTTTGTGGCTATGGCCCTATAAGCCTTCCTTGAAACAGGGTTCCTCCATAAGAGAATTATTCATCTGATGGGTGAGTTCCAAACCTTAATTGCCATCTGCTGCAACTCTGATAAAGCCATTGCTACGAGCATCTATTAGCATTGGTTCAAGTGTCCACCACGAGTTAGAAGCCAAATTGGGGGATAACACATGTTGTACTTGTAGTGGAAAAAAAAAGATGCAAAAACTATAATTCATAGAATCTTCTGTGGTTTCAGTTCAGCAGTGTTTCACCAATCTGTTTTGCCGAGTCAGAAACTCAGTGATGATTCTGTGAGAATTCACTGAATGAATCTGTGAAGATGAAGCCACATTTGTATGTTGAGATGATTGGATGTTGAGATACCCAAGCTGTGAGACATATGCCATGTATAGCTGCATACAGGGAGTGGAAGCAGCAAAAGAGAGACATGTATAAGATTTTACAGGAATAGAATTATGTAGACCCTTTGAGAATGGAGTGCTAACAGCCTGAGACAGACCTACATGATTCGTTGTTTGCCCTGATAAGTTTTAATCTTACCTTGGTCAAATCTTCCCTAACTGTGCTCATCTTCCTTTCTTTGTTTTTTTTTAATTTATTATTCTTTCATACTGTACAATGCATCAATACACCCAGTTTCTCTATCTTATTTTTCCTTTAGTAGTTAGTGTTTCTTCATTCAATTTTCTTGTATACCATGTACTGCTGCTCTGTTTCTTTGTCTTTCTCTCTGTTAATTGATATTTCTCTCATAAGGTCATATCTTATTCAAAGGGTACAGAAGTATAGAATCCTGAACATAATTAGCTGTTAGTGTAGGACCAGAAAAATGGAAATATATGTTAGGAATAATGGCAGAAATTGGGTATTGAGATCATAGAATTTCAGTGGGAAATAGATAAGTGCCAGAAAAAAAATATTAATCCTGAGGTCATTTGTGTGATATTTTGGCTTAAATCTTTCTTCCTCTGCCTATGCTCTATAAATTTAGTAAGACAGAATTAAAAAATAATGAGCTAATTTCTTAAATGGAATATTGAATCTGCTTAATGGTTATCACTGATGACTCATTCAGGTGTACAGCAGAAAAAACAATTGGAGCAAAAATAAATAAAAATGAAAAGGTAGTATCAGAAAGCAGTCATGTGTTGAAATAGGCAGGAATTTTCAGAGTGTTTATCACCATTATAGAGAAGGCCCATGCTATGGAATGGAAACTTTTCAAGGAGACCTAAGAGCACAGAAAACTCTGGCCACAGAAAACTTCAATTTAGGGAAGGTGTGAGCAAAGTGATTCATATTCTAAAAAAGCTACTTCTTTCAAAACCTTCTGCACCCTGATCCCAGCTCATTAGTGTCCTTCACAATTAAGAAATCAAACTTTTCAGCATCACACATCATGTGTTTGCCTTGGAAACAAGAAAGAATCAAAATGTAAGATCATGGATTTTTAGTTAAAAGTTAGAGTGCATCATTGTTTCAGGCATCTGTGTTTGGCAGAGTCAGAAGCCCAGTGAGGAGACAGTGAGAGTTCATTGCATGAAGCCGTGAGGATTGAAGCCGGGTGTTGTTGGTTGTTTCTTTTACTCTTTCCTCTTTAGAGGGCCTGTACCCAGTTATTAAATAAATCTCACAAATGGAGGCTTATATTTTCTCATAAATGCCTGACCTTGGCTCGCTTTGGCTTGTTTCAAAGCAGGTTGTTTTTTTAACTTAATTGTTCTCTCTACCCTTTCACTCTGGCCTTTATCTTTCTCTATTCTGTATTTCCTTTATTTCTACTCCATGGCTTCTGTCTAGCTAGGTGAATGTCTCCTGTTGTTCTCCCCTTCTCTTGTCTCTTCTCTTTTTCCTCCCAGAGTTCTCCTCCCATTTATTGTCTTTGACTGCCAGCCCTCCCTCTGCTTTCTTGCCATTCTATTGGTCATTCAGCTCTTTTGCATTTAACTATAGGCAAAGTATCAGAACTTCACAGAGCTAAACCAATGTGGTATAAAAGACTGCAGCATTTCTTTGCATCATTCAATCAAAAGTTCTACAGCATAAACAAATGTAACACAATTAAAAATGTTATTTCACAACACACTGGGTTGCATTTTGAGCCTGAAGATGTTAAGATACCGAAGTTATGACACAACTTCCATGGAGACCTAGCTGCTTATAGTGAGTAGAAGTTACCAAAGAGAGAAATGCATGAGAAGTTGCAGGGATAGGGTCATTTAAGTTATTTGAACCTGAAGCCCATACATCTGACAAGAGAGCTACAGGATTCGATGTTTGTCCTGCTCTGCTTCAGTCTTGTCTTGGTCCAATCTTCCCTCACCGTGTCTCCATTTTTCTCTTTTGGAATGTTAATGGTATTTTGCGCCATTGTATGTGGAAAAAATGTAACTTGCTTTCAGAATATATTGGATGTTATTGTCAAGAGATTGTCTTGGGTGCCAGAGGAGACTTTGGACTTTTGGACAGTTGCAGATATGGATCATTGAATGAGGATCATTGAAGTGACTGAATAGTTTTTCATTGTTGACCATGAACTAATAGTGACTGGGGTCAGAATGTACTTCATTGAATGAACAATCTCCCAGAAAAGATCATGTACTTGAACAGGTTTTTCTCCTTGGTGGCCTTTCTTTCAATTTCCTATGAACCTTTAGTCAGAAAGGCCTTTCTAGATGAAATTCCTCAGTGTATGTGATGAGTCTCAATGTTCTAAACTAATTTTCTGACCTTTATGTCTACTGTGCTGTGTTTGAAATTAATCATCCAACTTCCCATTCATGCTGAAATGCTTTTACCATCATTATAGGCTTGATCTGTAAATCACATAAAACATAGAAGAAATAGTTGCTGTTCAGTGCTAAGGAGTTTGGTAGCCTTCAGTTTTAATTGTTTTGTTTGCTTGTCTTAGTTACCTTTGCTCTGTGGCTCCAAATTTTTGAAAGTAAAGGGAGGGGGGCTTCATTCATAGTTTTACTTGTTTTTATGTTATTGGGTGATGACTCTGGAATGTAGGGTTTTTTTTACATGTCAACCATATGCTGCTGTGCTCAGCTTCACACATATCTTGAATTTTAAGTTTGACAGAGGGTATCATTCTGATTCCCAGGATGCCATGTATTCATGACATTAATACTGCCTGAGCATTCTGAGTCATTGAATTGCAAGGGGCATGAACTTCTTTTTGCTTGTTATGGTTGCTTTTAATTTTTTTTACTCAATATGACTATTTTTATGTCTGCATGAATGTGCACCATATGGGTACCTGGTCATCAGAGTGATCAAAGCATCTCAGAAACTTGAACTTGGAATAATAAATAGTTGTGATCCCCATGTAAGTACTAGCAATTGTGCCCACCTCTTTTCAAGACCAGGAAGAGCTCAGTAGTACTCAGCTATATTTCCAGACCTGTGTTAATTAGTTATGCCCAACAATTATATTGCTAATGATTTCATATGTCCATTTGTAATTATTTTAAAATGTAGCTCCTTTTCATAAAATGTTATTGGTATTACAGATTAAAATAAGACACTTCTGATGTCTGGAAGATGAATACAGAACTGAAGTGAATGCATAATTCTTTGTAGGAGCTTCAGTAAACATCTCTGAATTCTTTCTATCTGATTTGTTTGTTTCACTGATTTTTGCAATGGAGACAGGGTCTTGATGTGTACTTCCACCTGTCCTGAACATGATTCCATAGACTTGACTGGCATTCAACTCAGAGACAAATATCCACACCTGTGCTTTCTGAGTGCTGTGCTTAAAGGCATGAGTCAATACGCCCAGTTTTTCCACTGTATTTTTTTTGTAATTAGTATTTTTTCATACAATTTTCTCATGTGTACTATATCCTGTTGATCTGTTTCCTTAGCTTTCTCTAGTAATAGACAGTTCTTTTGTAAGATGGTATCCCATTCAAAGGGTACAGAAATAACAGAGTTACCTCTCCTATTCAATTTCCTTCTAAAGTGACTGTTTGTGTCATGGAATAATAGTGGGGAATTTTATGACTATACTGTAGAAGAAGTATACATTTACAATGTTGTCACCATCATGCTTCCTATTAAACACATGAATAAAATATTTTAGAGGGCAGTGACCTATGATGATGTGCATATCAACTTCAATCAGGAAGAGTGGAATTTGCTGGATGCTTCCCAGAAGAATCTCTACAAAGATGTGATGCTGGAGACCTACAGGAACCTCACTACTATAGGTAAAAATAAATTTCCTTCATGTTTCAAAATAAGAGGACAACTTTCTTTTGGTTAATGATGTTCTTCTGTAATTTGATTTAGAAAAAATAAGAATGAATTGAATAAAGCAGTCATAGTTCTAAGTTTCACTTAAGATAACAGCTTAAATATTGCCTAATTTTCAATAATATAACATACATTTTCTGGTATTATGTTTTAGGATGCATTTGGGAAGATCATAATAGTGAAGAACATTGTCAGTGTTCTAGAAGACATGAAAGGTAATTTTCATGTGCAAAGCCTCTGATGAGATTGTCATGTGTCCTGGAAGTTTTAAATGGAAGCAACAGTGTAAATAAGCACAACTTTAAGTGCACTGATGGTTATTAATTTTTTATGAATCCATATATCATATATGTGAATTGCATTTGAATGACATTCTCTTAAGAAAGGAGTCAAGGAAGCAATGCCTAACCAGATAATCACCTTTTGAGGCATAATACCATGAGAACTTTGTTGTTTATCTGCAGATACATTTCTAGCTTGCTACTCATAATACAAAAGATATACACACTGAAGAGATAATAAGTATATCTGCAAAACTTCCTACTAAAACCAATATCCCATAGTAAATCTTGTATTACTCATACATTTCATGTGACTGTGCTAAGTTTAATCAGAAAAGCAGTTAGAGTCAAGTCATGTTGTTGTGGAGAAACCTTGATACCTATACCTCAAGTCTGTGAGGAACAGCAAGTCAAACCCTGAGAATTCAATGTGGAAATCTTTTATACTTCTTTACTTTTCTTTTATTCTTCTTTACTATGTATACCATATGGTACTCTAGATACAAGCGTATGTACATAGGGATATAGTGAGATGTAGCATACCTCTCTCTAAGAACAATTAGATGATAAGACATAGTCCCCATGCAGAATATACTTGTTGAATTTGATTCCGCTATGCAAGTAATTGGTTTTCCACCATCATTTTTAATACATGAACAAACTCACACTGCAAAAAAGCCCCATGAGTTCTAGCACTGTGCAAATACTTCCTGGTGTCCTCATTCACATAGTAAATGCAATGTGATTCACAGTATAGGAGAATTCATGAATGTTAAAGCTCTGAGTTTATCCAGTTCTCTTCACATATGTATAAAATATTATATAGAAAAAAGTTTCTGTGAAGGTGAAAAGGTAAGCCATAAAAGAAAGGAATTTATCGTTGGAGATATCTTCAAAGTTGCAAAACAGTGCCTAATTAAAGAGCAAAACATGAGTTTAGACACAGTTTTAAAAAATGAACATCTGATTCCTTTTTACAATTGGAACGTATTATAAAATTAACTCATACAAATGTGTGGGCACAACAGTGTTGAATGTGATAAAGCTTTTACATGTGCAAATTATCCTTGCAGGATTGAAAGAATTCAAACTGGAGAGAAACTTTCAGTATACCTTCGATGTAGTAAACCCTTGACATATGACAGTCACCTTAAATGGAATGAAAGAACACAGACTGGAGAGAAAACATATGAATGTAATCAGTGTGGTAAGATCTTTTCAGGTCACAGTAATCTACAAAAGCATAAAAGAACACATACTGGAGAGAAACCCTATGGATGTTATCAGTGTGGTAAGGCCTTTGATTGTCACAGTGATCTTCAAAGGCATGAAAGAACACACACTGGAGAGAAACCCTATGAATGTAATCAGTGTGGTAAGGCCTTTGCACAGCACAGTGGTCTTCAAAAGCATAAAAGAACACATACTGGAGAGAAACCCTATGAATGTAATGAGTGTGGGAAGGCCTTTGCAGCTCACAGTAATCTTCAAAGTCATAAAAGGACACATACTGGAGAGAAACCCTATAAATGTAATCAATGTGGTAAGGCATTTGCAGTGCACCGTACTCTTCAATTGCATCAAAGAACACACACTGGAGAGAAACCCTATGAATGTAATCAGTGTGGTAAGGCCTTTGCACAGTACAGTGGTCTTCAAAGTCATAAAAGAACACATAGTGGAGAGAAGCCCTATGAATGTAATCAGTGTCAGAAGGCCTTTGCAGAGCTGAGTGGTCTTCAAAATCATAAAAGAACACATACCGGAGAGAAGCCCTATAAATGTAATGAGTGTGGTAAGGCCTTTGCAGTGCACCGTACTCTTCAATTGCATCAAAGAAGACATACTGGAGAGAAGCCCTATGAATGTAATCAGTGTGGGAAAGCCTTTGCACAGCACAGTGGTCTTCAAAGTCATAAAAAAACACACACTGGGGAGAAACCCTATGAATATAATCAATGTGGTAAGGCCTTTGTAGAGTACTTTTCAGTTGCATAAAAGAACACACAAGAGAGAAATCCTATGAATGTAATCAGTGTGCTAAGGTCATTGCAGCTCACAGTAATCTTAAGAGGCATAAAAAATCTCACTCTAGGTAGAAATCCTACAAATGTAATCAGTGTGATAAGACCATTCCTGGCCATTTTATTTGTCAATTGCATAAAACATACTGGAGGGAAACCCTATGATCATAATCAATGTGGTAAGGCCTTTGCATAGCACAGTCATCTTCAATGTCATCGAAGAACAAATACTAGAGAGAAACAGTTTGAATAAAATCAATGTGGTAAAGCCTTTTTATTTCTTATTTTCTGCAAATGCACATACTGGAATACATACTGGAGAGGAATCCTACGGATGTAATCAGTGTGGTAAGGCTATTGCATATCAGTGTCATTTTCAAAGGCATAAAAGAACACACAGTAGAGAGAAACCCTTTGATTTTATTCAGTGTGTTAAGACCTTTGCAGATCACAGTAATATTCACAGGCATACAAAAAACACATGCTGGTGAGAAACAGTATAAATAAAATTAGTGTGATAAAGCCTTTTTATGTCTTATTCATCTTCAAATGTACAAAAGTACACATTTTGGAAAGAAACCATGAATGTAATTTGTGTGGTAAATCCTTTGTCACAATAATCTCCAACTACATAAAATAAACCCTCCTGGAAAGAAACTATGAATTTAATGAGTGTACTTTTCAAAATCATGAGAAAAATCATATTGTAGTGAAACTCTTAAATGAATTCAGTGTGCTAATGTTTTCCACTTTATACTGGAGTCAAACTTTTTTGTAATAAGTCTGATAATGCTTTTCCATTATTACAGTAGTCTTTGGGTACCTGAAGAAGAAACTGAGGGTTTATTCTAAATTATTTTTTAAGATATTAAGCCAATACACTTAAAGTCAGTTAATTAACATTTATTCTGTAGAAAAAAATGGTAGTGTCAATGATCTGTTCAAGCATTCTGATACCAGCAAACTGATGGCCAAAACCTAATTTATGAATTTATGAAGTTCTATGGGTAGGAGAAAGGTCCTTTCAAAGAAACACACCCTGGTCCTAAAATGAAATCCTAAAGAAACACTTTGGCCCTGAATCTAGAGCTAGTTAAAGAAACAACATCACCCCAAAACAGAGTGAAATGTTAAAAAGGGCCAGTGTAGGAAATACACTTTGAATCTTAAACCAGAGTCAAAGAAACAAACTCTACTCTTCTCCAACTGAACACAAAACCAATCTCAGAGCTCAAAATCTACTGCTGGAAATATTTTAAAGTCTACTTATATCAGTTTGAAGTCCACAAACTCATAAAGAAGAAATCCCCATTCATAAAAACAATTTGTTAATGAATTTAGATTTCACAGTTGTCTTTAGCTTCAAGAATAATTGTTTCTCTTCATAGCCTTAAAGTAAGTAAATTATGTACCATGTTCACTCCAGACTGGTGCAGGAGATCATGGCAATGTGGTTTCTATTTTGAAACATATGAGATAGTCACTAAAGTGTGCTCTATGTGTGGCAAATCCATTTAGTGAAGTTTATTTTGTAGTCCTTATATTCCTTCTGTGGCTTTTGTTCAGCTTCTATTCTGCCTGTACCTAGTGATACATATTTTTCTGCTGTAATGTATAGAATGGCGTCCCCATCATATAATTGTCCCATTGGTCAATGAAATATCAGACCATGTTTTATCATACTTTTCATGAAAGGGTGGTGGTTTGTTGTTCCTGATTTTGATTTTCATATTTTCACAAATTCCCTTGAGATTTTGTTGTTTGTTATTCATCTTAGCTTGGATGTCAGTAATGATTTAGGTATACATTTGAACTCATGATGTTTATGTGTTTTCCTCTTGAGTACAAGTCCAAGGGTAGATGATTAACTCCCAGTGTGTGCTGTTTCTTCAAGAGATTTAACAATGTTAATGTAAAAATGACTGATAAAAGAAATTATAAGAAACATTAAATACCTCATGTTTGTATTTAAAGAAATATTTTAATTTATCTGATGTAGATGTAATAAAGTATGATAGTCAGCCATCAACTGTGTATTTAATACCAAAGCTTGATATTCTATAGGGATTTAGGTTAGCTTTAATTGTCTTGCACAAAACAGTCTTTTTCCACTGATCCATCTCACTGGTGCTCAGATTCAACTTGAAGAAATGTTGCAATGACTAGACACTTATAACACTTTCTCAGAACCAAAATTATATGCCAGAGAATTGCCTCATTTAGTAAGTCTTAATGCCCTGTATTCTATCTCTGGGTTAAGCATAATGTTTTACAAATTTTCTCATTTTTCTTCACTTCTGCAGTTACATACACACTCCTCCAACAGCTCATTCATAAATAAATTTTTAAACCCAGGTCATTTGCAGCCAAATGACTCCATATGTTTAATCATTAGCACTCACAAAATGGAAGTAAATCAAAGATACCTGTTAGTTTTCCTATCAGTGCTATATGCACATCATAGCATGGGTGTATTCACAAAGACACATGTCAAACATTTTAAAATAAATTGAATTTACAATTCAAAAAATAACCCGTTGTTGAGAACATATGTAATTTTTTGTCATTTAAGTTATAGAATTTCAAAAAGCACTGCCATCCATCAAAACAATGATGCTCCTTTTTAAATCTTATTTTATTTCTTTCTCTGATTCAATGATAAGTGCTTTAAAAAGACATATTTCAGCTGGGCATGGCTATAATCACAGCACATGGGAGTGTGTGTGTGTGGAGTGATTCTTAGTGAGGTTAGCTTATTCCCCATAAAGAATTTCTGGCATCCATGGCTATGTGGAGATATCCTGTCTCAAAAATTCCAAGAAGGAACTTTTGCTAATAAAATCTGGCTGGACTCAGTTTGATTTCAACCAACCTTTTTTATCTTTACTCACATAAAGACAACTGTGATAACAATAAAAATAAGCAATATTGAAATTCCATTCACACTCAGTCAACTGAATCACTTGAAAACCATCTAGAGAGCCTTTATATCCTTTCAAGTGCTAAGAGACCAATGGAACAGTGGGGCATCTTCACCTTCAGCATTATAATGACATATGTATGGCCTGGAAAGTTGTCTCAGGAGTACAGCTCCTCTTGGGTACCCAGGATTGATTTGTAGCACCACCTCTAATTGGTCAGAACTCCCTGTAATTGCAGGACCTGAAGACCTGATACATTCTTCTGGCCTCCTAGGGCACAGATATGCAAATACTGAACAGATAGGTATGTATTTGTTTCTATATTTTAATTAGATATTCATCATGTGCCTGTTACCTTCAAAAAGAATAAAATTTAATTTGGATGTAGAAGCTTGACCAGTGAGTATACCAAGTGTATCCCAGGTATCAGTGGTGACCAGAAGATGGTGTCTAATCCCCTGTGACTGAAGATACAGACAGTTTTGGGTGCTGGGTATTAATGTTAGGCCCTGTGGATGAGTCATCAGTGTTGAGCTTTCTATTTAGTTTCATGAACATATCATTAATAACAGTGGGGTTTGAAAGACTGAGATTGACAGCACCAGAAACTAACTTAGACTTGGTTCTTTTAGAATTTCTGATCATCATGCATGATTAAAAAGATAGTTTTGTTCTAAATCTCCATCTTCCTACATGGTTAGACATGTCTTCTCCTGTCCCTCTTCTTTTGTTTGTTAGTTGTTTGCTTGTTTTGTTTTTCAAGACAGGATTTCTCTATAGCTTTGGATCTTGTACTGAAATTAGCCCTTGGAGACCAGGCTGGCCTTGAACTCACAAAGATCTGCCTGCCTCTGCCTCTGCCTCCTGAGTGCTGGGATTAAAGGTACATGACACCACTGTTTGGCTTCTGCCATCCCCTTTTAAATTGGTCACAGTATAACATTGGGCCTGAACCCAAAGGAGACTTCAAGATGACAGCTTATGTGGAATGCAAAATCTCTTTCAGGCTCCTCTTTTTAAAATTAACCACTCTGGATGCATGGTGTTGTTACAGAGATTTTGTTTAATAAACTTTTAAGTTTGTAGAATGATTTATACATAGGAATGCATATTACTTCTAGAATGTCAGTACTTCCAGTTTGTAGAAAAATGTTTCTGAATCAAAAGATCTTATGTTGGATCATGTAGCCTCGATCCCACTTTATTGCTTCCCAGCGTAATGACCTTGTTCTCCTTGTGGTTAAATGCCCTAAATTCTTAGATTAAACAGCTCAATCACCACTAAGTTATAAAATTACAAATTTGAGTCATGTAGTCAACTGTCCATTTCAGCAATAGGAAAAGGAATTGTATCTGGAGCATGGTTTCTGCTTTCAGAGCATAATGGGTGGAATATTTCACTCTGTACACATTCGTTGACAGAGGTTTCTGTCTCACCAGGTACCATAGTCATGAGGGCTGCATTAATCATAAACTGATTGGCCTATTTGCTCCGGCTTCTTATTAAGTCTTATAACTTAATAAGCTTATAATTCTTGTCTGTGTTAGCTGTGTGGCTTGGTACCTTTTTCAGTGAGGCAGTCACATGCTTGCTCTATTTCTGGGTGACAACTGCAGACTATCCCTTTCCTCTTCCCAGAATTATCCTGTTCCAGTTGCCCCACCTCTACTTCCTGCCTGGCTACTGGCCAATCAACATTTTATTAAAATACAAGGAACAGACCATTGTCCCCCAACATACTATAGGGGAAACACTTTAGGCAAACATTTGTGGAGTCACCATTATGAAATAAGATATGATTGAAGAAGCATAAGTGATTTTGTTATTTCCCAGCATGTACTGATCCATGTCATGTAAATAAAGTCAGTACAGATTTTTGTATACAATGTGGAAAGGTTATTTGAGCCAATGAATATGGAATTTCCAAGAAAGAACTCTCATATGCAGATATGTTCAATCTTGCTATCATTGTTATATCCATTACCTGTAACCACGTATTTTAGGTGACAGGTCTTAGCAGCTAACATTACATATAATCACAAGGTGAAGTAATATCTTATTAATGCCATTCCCACTGCCAGGGTGATTTCCTCCTTTGCAAAATCAATATATCTTTGTGTTTTTTCAGTTATACTTGCTTTTTAAAAAACATAATAATTATGACTTTTAAATTTAAATTCCTTTAAATTTATCCTATAGCCACACTGATGAATATCTTACATATCACCATAGAACCTTCATCTGGCGATGGATGGAGATAAAGACAGAGACCCACATTGGAGCACTGGACTGAGCTCCCAAGTTCCAACTGAGGAGCAGAAGGAGGGATACAATCATATCACCTTATTAATTTCCAAAGGAAAATCAATAACCAGGTTGTTATTATGCCAAAACATAAGTATACCAATTACAAATGCATTATATGTTTAGAATAGTAGCAATGTCTCTTGGAGGGCATATTTCTAATATCTAAAACTTACTTCTGATAACCACAGATATTCTCTTAATTGGTGTTGCAACATAAGATAAGGAAATTCAAAGAACATACAAATAACACTACAAATGCATTATCCAAAAAATACAACAGAAGCACTCATATCAGTTAAACATTCTCATGTCCACAGTAGTCACATGGCCTTAGATAATATTTAGACCTGCCATCCTCTGCTGCCCATTCTGTATTTCTTCCATCCTCTGTAAGCACCTTACAAGGTCTTGGATATTCTCCTAGAGAAGTGACCCATACCTTTCTATGGAGGAAGTTGTCATCCAGTGTGGTTAACCTGTCAGTAGGTTGATGGCTCGTCACTCCAGCAATGGTGTCCTATCTGTGGCTCAGTTTTGGTCTCTCCTGATGCTGATATGGCAACTCAGCAACAGCCGTAGCCAAGTCAGCCATGATGAGTGCAAGTTCATGTTGTTGAACCCATGCCTATGTCCCATCTTTGGCGCTATGGCCACTTTGGTCATGGGTCCATTGGACACTGACATGAATAACCGAGAAAAGAGGCTGACTGTACATGAAAGTCATCCTGTCTGAGTACTGAACTCCTCCTCAGCTGAATTCACCTTTTAATCAGCATTTACATGGAATTCAAGGACCTTTATAACCTTTTCCCATTTGTAGAAATTATCCACATTCTTCTTCCTCAGATGTCTTCTCTCACTAATTTTCTAATCATGCTCTTTATTAATCCCTGAGCCTCCAGTAAAACCACTGGATAGAGTCCATCAATCAGTGAATTGTTAGCAGCACATTAGTCCATTTCTCCTCCCAAGTAAACCAAATGAAAATGTGTACTGTTTGAACTCCTGCCCACTGTGAAGATTTTTCTTCACAAGTATCTTTCAGGTTGCCCCAGAAAGGGGTTGCAATGCTACAACTGTCCAATTCTGGGTGGTTCCAGCATGATGTATAGAGCCATCAGCCAGGGCTTAGTCTTCTCTTCCTCATTCAACCGATCATAGGAAATAGGATATAAGTGTATACTTAAAAGGAGAAGGCATTGTAACAGGAGTAGAAACCATTGGCATTTGGACACTTCTTCATGTGCCTCCTTGTGCCTTCAGTACCAGCTTGGTTCTGATCTCTTATATATCACTTCTATTTGATAACAGATTACAGCTGAACATGTTCTACTTTATGACTTGATGGATCCAATAATACCCAGCTCATGATGGGCATTTCAGGTCACTTGGTAAGGTGGTGACCCACTGTCAAATGTTCAGTTTCTCCCAGTGACTGGAATTAATGGCATGTGCTCACATCTCTGACTATATTTATTTTGGAATATGATTATATGGGCAACAGTAGTACCCACTTAGAATGAATTTAAGAGGTACTATATTGTTCCATTTCTCCAGTGCTCACGAGCACTAAAAGAATGTACTACCTCACTCAGTATGAGAAATAATTTTTGTGGTGCAAGTCTCCTCTTCTTATGGTGGTCAGGGAATCTGGAGATGGTTCCAGAAGCACTGATAATGGAGGTACAGATATTAGTGAGTTTCTGTCTTTCCTGGGAATGGAAGCTGGATGCTCTGAAAAAATATTCAGCACTCTTAGCTGCTAAGGTATTTGAAGAGTCTGTGAATAAAAATATA